ATCGTGATTTATTAGCATAGGTGTATGGGATTGCAATCCCCGTGCCCTCCTGGACAGCTCTTGCAGAAGCTCCGCCGAATGCGGCCAACTACCTCTGTAGGGGTGTACTTGCGGAACAATGAATAACCCGAACCGTAACAAAGCGGCGGAATAGGAGGAGATTTCGCACGGAGGAGACTACAGCAGTTGTGCGCATGAAGATGGAAGAGAGGTCGCGCAACGCAGTAGAGAAGCTAAGAGCTGTGGAGGAGAGGTCGCGAAACGCAGCAGAGAAGCTACGAGCTGCCGAGTCGGAGTTTGAGAGGCTGGTGAAGGCGCTTAGAGCTGTGGAGGCTGCCAAGTATGACGCCGAGAGACTTAGGCAGCAACCACAACAACAGCAGCGCTGGAATACCCAATGCCAGCTGCGTGTTGCCCAGCATCCGCAGCAGCAAATACAATGCCAACAGCAGGCATGTAGTGCCCAACCCCAGCCGCGACCGCAGTTGCAGCAGTGGTCTCGTGGTGGTGCTATTTGTCAGACTTACCGACAGCCGCAGCAGCAGATGCGACAGCAGTAACAACTTGTGCGTACGATGCCCGCCCTTTTCCCGAACCTGGATGTGATATTCCATTGCCAAAGAGATTTGCGCGTGACGCTCACGGGTGTTGGTGCTCTGTCGGGTTTGGCGCTCGATCTTCTTTTCTGTTCTCGGATACAGGAAAGGTACGACATCGTCCTGAACTGGCAGGGGGCTAAGACTATGGGTGGGCAAGTGCAGTTCACCAAATTCGCCCATGGCAACTACGTCCAGGCAACCCCGTCGATCCACTGCCTACGCCCCGTGCGAGTCCCGCGGAGATGAGGCGGGCTAGAGCGGCGGCATCGGCGGCGATTTCAGCGGCGACGACGGCGGTACCCGATGGTTCTGTTTCCCCCGCGGCGTGGGCGTTGAAAGTTGCCGGAGTGCCCGCGTTGGCGGCTGGAGCGGGGGCATCGGCAGCAGCTCCGGCGGCTACGGCGGCGACCTCTGGTGGTAGTGTTGTCCCCGTGGCGGCGGGGGGGAGAATGGTCGAAGTCCTCACAGTAACCGCAGCAGCGGCGGCATCGGCAGCAGCTCCAGAGGCGACAGCAACGACCTACGGCGGCGGTAGTGTTTTCCTCGCAGTGACGGCGGGGGAGGCGCCCGGTGGGCTCGCGGCGGCAGCTGGAGCAGCGGCATCGGTGGCGGTTCCAGCGGCGGCGGCGGCGGTGCCCGGCGACAATGTTATCTCCGTGACGGTGGCGGGGAGAACGACCGGAGCGCCCGCGTCGGTGGTTGGAGCGTCGGCAGCACCCGACGGTGTTGTTTCTCCCGCTGCTGCGGCGGGGAGAATGGCTCGAGAGCCCGCGCAGGTGGCTACAGCGGCGGCATCGGCGGCTGGAGTGGCGGTATCGGTGACGGCACCACCCGCGACCGCGGCGACGGCACCGGCCACTACGATGGCGACCGTCGGTGACATTTCCCCCACCACATCGGTTGGGGAGGCGGCCAGCAACGGAGAAGCGGTGGGCAACGGCATCGACGACGGCAGCGATGATGGCGGTTGGTGCGCAGGTGAGGTTGGTGACTGCTGGGATGACAGCGTCTGTGGCGAGAGGGGGGTGTCCACGCACCCTTTCGATCCCGGCACCGTGTCTTCGGGGGTGCGCGGCACCATGGTGATCAAAAAGGGCGGGACAAACGACACTAAATACGGCATAGTGCGCCACAGCTTGCCATCGCCAACCGGTACCGTACGTCGCAGAGAGACAGACCGGAGTCTCTCCGAGGTAGCTCTCGTCGCTGGTGTGCTTCTTGGCGGGGGAAACTCTGTGCGTCCTCCGATTTGGGATTTTCAAGGCGGGCGGCGCGGCACGAAGCCCAACGGCCGAGCCGTGCCATCCCGTTTCGCGGTCAAATTGAATGCAGGGTGTGGGTCGTACCGGTTCTGTACTGGTACAATAAGCGTAGCGTACGACATCGGATGACCGACGGGGATTACTGTTGTATCCCGAAGCAGATATTATTGCACGCCTTCAAATTGAGTGTTAGTGCGTGCCATTGGGAGGCTCAATCGTCCGAGACTGCTACTACTACTGTACAACACTCTCATCCCGTCTGGTAGTATTCGGAGGGATATATTGTGTTATAGTATCATAGGCACGTTAGGATACCGCAGAGGCTTTGTGCCGTGCGGAACGTGTGGTACGGGCCAGGTCTCCCTCCGTTGGCCACAGAATATATTCATCAAGGCAATTCGAAATAAAACTGTGAAATGAAAGTTCGTTGTCGAAGACCGAATAAACTGTAGCTTATGGTGCACGGAAGAATTCGGAATATCTCCCAGATCTACGTGCGTATTTTGGGTTCTTGATGTGCGCCGCCCTGGAGACGGGTTGGTTCGTATGTCTTGGTTCGGTTTTCCGGGTTCCCACGAGGAGAAGGGTCCCACGGAGTTCTCATTCTGCTGCCTCGCTGCTCCTGCAGCCAGAGTTTGATAGACGCGTGTCCACTGGACCCAAGGGTCACGTGTTGAGGAAAGCATGGTGTGTAATATGCTGCCCGTGTTGGAGGTCACGCGGCATAGGAGGGCAGCAGTTAGTGACATCGAAGTTTGGACCTACATAGCTAGCAGGCATTCGCAGATTTTCTCCCGCCCACCCATCCCACTACGCCCCCCCGGTGTCTACCATCGGGGTTGGGTTTTCGTCGCTTGGCAACGACGTTGTAAAACAAGCCACCCCCCCCGGTGTTTGCCATCGGGGTTGGGTTTTCGTCGCTTGGCAACGACGTTGTAAAACAAGCCAATTCACTTCGTGAACTCGGCAACCAGGTTACCGTTTTTTTTTTTTACCTCCGTTTTTTTTTTTGGCGGTAACCATAATGGTGGTCGAGTAGATCATGTTGTGCGGGGTGGAGAACCCTCACTCCGCGCAAGGGGGATGATCGCACCACGTTGTGTTAAAATGGTCAAGCACCCTCGAGGCAGTTACACAGTGCTTACAACTGTCTCTGGAAGTGAAAGCACCAGAAAATAAATTAAGTCATACGCAGCTGTCATCCGTACGCAAGGAAGTAAGCACAAGATGCCGAACACCCTTGGCAGGATGCAGCGCACCCTTCATGCGACTCGCCGAATATCTCACGGCGCTTCGCGCTTGGTGATGTGAGAGCCTGGTCCGGTGAGAACCCGGCGTGCTCCGTCCCGGCTTTGTAGGGATGCGAGGTCAATGGTCTAACGACTACGGCATGCACGACTATGAGTACACCCCCCCCCCCCCCCCCCCCCCCCCCCCCCCCCCACCCATCCCACTTTTCTTTCGAAGGTGGGGGATAGCAAATGTTACGAGTGAGGACTCACTTAGGAGAGGCCTCTTTATATTTCTCAGGGGTGTTCACGGTGCATTTTTTTCGACGGTGCGGTGCGGTGCGGTTTCGCACCGCACCGCACCGCACCGCACCGCACCGCACCGCACCGCACCGCACCGCACCGCACCGCACCGTACCGCACACCGTCAAATTTGGACCGCACCGTGATGTGACGAAACCGCACCGCACCGCACCGAAACTTTTCGATACGAAGAAAACCGCACCGCACCGCACCGCACCGCACCCTGGAGATTCAGAAGGAACCATAAATAGATGCGTTTTTTTTCACGGTGCGGTTTGTCCTACCCCGTCGCCAAGACCGAGGTAAAACCGCACTAAACCGCGGCAGAAATCGCGATGAAACCACAGTGACTTCACGTTTTTTCCATGCAGACGCATGTCAGGCAAGGCCAAAGATGGTTTAGGCTAACCCAGTTGTTCGTGAGGGAGAGCAGGAGGTCGAGGTCGGCACTAATTGAGTATAGAAGGGATGCGTTTGGGGTGGTTGTCAACGTGCGCCGCCTGGCACTGCCAGAACTGCATGTAGTTTATGCTTACTCTTTGTAGTAGTAGAACAACAGTTCCAACAGCAGTAGAGAGAGGCAAGTGAGGAATTAATGTAGCTGCTGTTGATGCGTGGTGTAGGTACGTAAGGTAACTGGGATATGAAATGAAATACGCAGCAGTGCGTTCTCGTCATGTCTGGGGTTTTTCGGGTTCGTTTTCTGACATTTGTTGTTGACGGCCTCGATGCACAGCACAATGTGCACTGAAGTAACTATACTTTCGATGGGCTACACCTAACGTATTCCACAAAATCGTAGATATCCCGTCATTTTGTCACGGATAGCCGTGCGTGGTATTTCGGCTGTTTTCTTCGACGGTACACCGCCGCCGAGGCCGGCCGCTTTTCGCGCGCTGTATATTACAGGGTAAACAAATCGCACCGAGAGAAAAAGCTTGAGAAGGTACACATTCTACGTACAGTTCCACCGGTTGTCCCGCCGATTTCAATTGACCGGCCATAACTTCATCAATAATAGTTTTTTTTTTTTTAGTATTGATCTCCATCACAAATGCCACAAGAGTTGTTCAGGGACCAAATCGATTTGAGACGTTTCTGAGAATTCGTGGTTTTCGTATAGGTTTTTCCAGGCGTTTTTGGGAGGGAGGGGATGAAACTTTTCGTCCAATATCTCGATAACCACTATCGCAATCATGCCGGTTTTTTTTTGTTCTTGGTTGATATCGGCGGGGTTTGAGCAGGCGAACGCGATGGCGCCCTAAAAAAAAAACAAACACACAAAACAAGTAGATATACACATTTGAAGGGGGGCACAAGAGATTGTACCCCCCNCAATCATGCCGGTTTTTTTTTGTTCTTGGTTGATATCGGCGGGGTTTGAGCAGGCGAACGCGATGGCGCCCTCAAAAAAAAACAAACACACAAAACAAGTAGATATACACATTTGAAGGGGGGCACAAGAGATTGTACCCCCCTTTTCTGGTCGCAAAACTTATCGTTCAACGCTTGACATTTCGTTGTTTTCGCTTCATCGTTTGGAAAACCCTGTATTTACACTCGATAACACTCCCTCGCACTACGTTTTACGATTGCCAAAATACTAGTCTTCTACATACAGCACATCGCCTGCCCAATACTACCGATCGTATCGACCGGGAGGGAAACGCAGCCGGTAGAAAAAAAAAACGGACAACAAACTTCGTGGACAACCGACACCGACAGAAGCAAAAGTTGAGGTCATTCTTTCGAACCCCATACACAACGTACCGACTCTTAGCATACGTTGCTTGAGGTTAATGTATTCGGATGGAGCCGGCTTACGGTGCGACTTGCATTTCTCTTGCGCATCTACCGCCTCGGCGCCCGTAAGCCCTGCGTCGTACACCGC